TGAGACTCAGTGTTACAGAAGCTGGCTCCACCACTCCCGTCCCCTGCCACGGGGCTCCCCAAGCAGGGAGGAGGAGAGGCAGCTGCCTCCTTTGCGGTAGGCAAGATTCTAAAAAAATTTTTAAAAAGCTTTCTCTACTGCTTCGCCACGGTAAGACGTGCTTGCTTCCGCTCTGCCTTCCACCGTGATTGCAAGTTTCCTGAGGCCTACCCACGCTTCCTGGACAGCCTGCGGAACTTGTTGAGAGCTTACAATAGTGGACAAAGCAAAATCCTAGACTCGGAGAGCTGACACTCTGGTAGGAGGAGGCAGGCAATAAAAAAAGAGTCAACAGCATATGAGGAGTCATACTTAAAGCCAGAAGATTAGAGAAAAACACCTATGGAATGAACAGCAAAAAGGTCTGAGGATTGAACCCTTAGGCTTTTAGAAGCTGGAAAAATGAGGAACCAACAATGGACATTGAGAAAGTGCATTCACAATTTGCCCTTCTTCTGGATTGGCTTAAAAACGAACAAGCAAAAAACAAATAACACTTTAGGCTCTTTGAACTCATTTTCTATCCACATTTGTAATAATACTTGAGCAAACTTTTCCGTTAAAAAAAAAAATTGAATCTCTTAAATTTAGTGTATGTAAACAGCTTACAAATATGTATTGTCTAAATGCATTTAAATCTGTTTTATTCAGAGAAAAGCTAAAGCAAAAATACTGGCAAGACTGTCAGTGCAAACAAAGACAACACTAATCAGTATATACTACATTGGATGGCAGTGCTCTCCAGATAATTTGAAAAATGTTACAGACAACTTGCCTGATTTTTAAATGAGCATAAAAGGCCCTCTCCCCTGTGCAGTTTCCCCATTATCCATATAGAAAATGCTAGTATGTTTTGCTCACTTCATATGTAACAGGTGCCCTTATGTTGTGCTGTATCCTGTGTTTTTTCTGTGGGACCATTCCATTCAGGAGCAAAGGGCACCATGATTCCAATCTTGTGTGTGTTTACTAACCCTTCCCTGAGGTTTCTGTATGTTGGATATTGTGGTGTTTTAGATCACTGAGTGTACGGAAGAGAGAAATTCAAACAAAATAGTGCTGTTCTTCAGTTTTGTTTGTGGAATTTGAAATTACTCAAATTTAAAATAAAGTACTGGACTGTGGGGAAAAAAAAGGAGCGCGCTGGCTGGCGGGTCCTGCGGCGGCGCCTGCAACGCGGATTTCCCACGTCCCCCGCCTGGGCTGGGCCTCAGGGAGGGGCGAGACCGCGGGAGGAGTCGGTGGCCCTTGCTCGGGTCCTGCGACTCCCGGCTCCCCTCAGGGTGCCCCCCTCCCCCAGGAGTCCCTGCCCCTGCCGCAAGGCTCTGGCCCCCGTGGCCGGCGCTGGCCCCGCCCCTTGGCCCGGGGTCCCCGGCGGGGCGGGGGTCAGCTCTGACCCTGGGGGGTTCCGGGCGCGGCGCCATGGCCTCCGAGGTGGTGAAGGTGGTCGTGGGCTGCTGCCCCATGAACCAGCGGGAGCGGGAGCTGCGCTGCCAGCCGGTGGTGACTGTGGACTGCGTGCGCGGCCAATGCTGCATCTAGAACCCAGGCGCCACCGACGAGCCACCCAAGCAGTTCACCTTCGACGGCGCCTACCACGTGGACCACGTCACCGAGCATATCTACAACGAGATCGTCTACCCACTGGTGGAGTGTGCCGAGAACACCAAGTTCCTGGTCCGGGCCTCCTACCTGGAGATCTACAATGAAGACGTCCGGGACCTCCTGGGGGCTGACACCAAGCAGAGGCTGGAGCTGAAGGAGCACCAGGAGAAGGGCGTGTACGTGAAGGGGCTGTCCATGCACACGGTGCACAGTGTGGCCCAGTGCGAGTACATCACGGAGGCTGGCTGGAAGAACCGTTCTGTCGGCTACACGCTGATGAACAAGGACTCCTCACGCTCCCACTCCGTCTTCACCATCAGCATCAAGATCTCTGCCGTGGATAAATGGGGCAAGGACCACCTCCAGGCGGGCAAGCTGAACCTGGTGGACCTGGCGGGCAGTGAGTGACAGTCCAAGACCGGGGCCACGGGCGAGCGGCTCAAGGAGGCCACCAAGATCAACCTATCGCTGTCAGCTCTGGGCAACGTCATCTCGGCGCTGGTGGACAGGCACTGTAAGCACATTCCCTACCGGGACTCGAAGCTGACACGGCTGCTGCAGGACTCACTGGATGGCAACACCAAGACGCTGATGGTGGCCTGCCTGTCGCCTGTGGACAACAACTACGATGAGACACTGTGCTAAGCCAATCGGGCCAAGAACATCAGGAACAAGCCACGCATCAACGAGGACCCCAAGGATGCGCTGTTTCGCAAGTACCAGGAGGAGATCAAGAAGCTCAAGGCCATCCTGACGCAGGAGATGAGTCCCAGCAGCCTGTCAGCCCTGCTGTCCAGTCAGGCACCTCCAAACCCTGTGCAGGCAGAGGAGAAGCTGTTGCCCACACCTGTGATCCAGTATGACCTGGAGGCCGAGAAGCAGCTGATCCAGGAGGAGTATCAAGAGCGCCTGGCCCGCCTGAAAGCCGACTATAAGGCTGAGCAGGAGTCTCAGGCCAGGCTGGAGGAAGACATCACTGCCATGCCCAGCTCATATGATGTCATGCTGTCCACACTGGAGGAGAACCTGCGGAAGGACACAGAGGCTGTCCTGCAGGCAGGAGTCCTCTACAAGGCTGAGGTCATGTCCAAGGCTGAGGTCATGCCTAGGGCTGAGTTTGCCCGCAGGTCTGAGTACCCTCCTGCTTTCCAGTATGAGACTATGGCAAAGCCCGAGATCTTCTCCACAGTTGACACTCTGCCCAGTGACGATGTCTCCAAGACTGAGCTTTCCTCCAGGTTTGCGGAGCTGCGCAAAGTGGAGCCCTCCAAGTCTGAGATTTCTCTGGGCTCCAGTGAGTCATCCACGCTCAAAGAAACCTCTGTGTCTGAGGCTTTCCCTGGGCCCAAGGAGCCCTTCAATGTGGAGGTCTGCACGCCCACTGTGCAGTCCGGGAGCAGATACTTCCTGGATGAGTGCCTTGGGCAGGAGTCAGCTGGGCATCTGCTGGGGGAGCAAGACTACCTCCAGGAATAGGAGCCACAGAAGGAGCCCCTGCAGGGGTTACTAGGCCTGTGGGATCCGATTGCCAAGGTGGAAGCCAAGCTGGCCAGACTCTCCTCCACCACAGCCAGGACAGATGCACCCCAGGCAGACATCCCCAAGGTCCCTGTGCAGGACCCCGTGCTGACAGACCTGCTGGAGCCTGGGGATGCCAGGCCTGAAGCCAAGGTGGCTGATGACTTCCTGCCCAGGCCTGAGGTGGATCTGGTCTCGGAAGTGGACTTGGAGGAGGTGCCAACAGCAGAACTTGGTGTGGGGTTAGAGGCTGAGGCCCCAGTGGCCCCGGGGGCTCAGCCTCAGTCCCCGCCGGCCATGGCCGACGTGAGGAGGGAAAGCATGGGCATGGAGGTGGCAGTGCTGGCCAGCAACCTGCTACCCGTTGTGGACCAGCAGCAGGTGCTGGCCCGTCTGCAGCTGCTGGAGCGGCAGGTGGTGGGTGGAGAGCAGGCCAAGAATAAGGACCTGAAGGAGAAGCACAAGCGGCGCATGTGGTACGCAGACGAGTGCAGGAAGCAGCTGGTGGCCGCCCTGCAGAATGCGGATGAGAACAGCGGGGACTGGATGCTGCTCAACGTTTACGACTCCATCCAGGAGGAAGTGTGGGCCAAGAGCAAGCTGCTGGAGAAGATGCAGAGGAAGCTTTGGTCCGCAGAGGTGGAGATCAAGGACCTGAAGTCTGAGTTTCAGCTGGAGAAGATTGATTACTTGGCCACCATCCACCAGCAGGAGCACAACTCCATGCTCTTGCAGCAGCTCCTGGAGCAGGTGCAGCCCCTGATTCGCAGGGACTGTAACTACAGCAACCTTGAGAAGATTTGGCGTGATTCCTGCTGGGATGAAGATAACGGCTTCTGGAAGATCCCATAGCCTGCCATCATCAAAACCAGCCTCCCAGTAGCAGTTTCAACTGGGCCACAGAACACACCAGCCCACAAAAGCTCTGCAGCAGACAACGGCGAGCCGAACATGGAGGAGGAGGACTGCTACAGGCTCATGCTCAGTTGGAGCAACAGTGAAAACATCGCCAGCAACTGCTTCCGGTCTAAGTGGGCCAGCCAGATCCTCAGCACGGATGCCAGGAAGAGCCCCACATATCACAACTTGCCACCAGGCTTCGGCTGCCCACTCAGCAACAACCCTGCCATTCCCGCCTACCCAGGCCCCTGAAATGTCCCAGCCCCGGCCCTTCCGCCTCGAGTCCCTCGACATCCCTTTCACCAAGGCCAAGCATAAGAAAAGCAAAAACAACTTTGGCAGTGAGCCTCTGTAAGCACAGCTGCCTGCCGTTGCCTGCCTTATAGGCTTCTAGAGACTGCCAGGCCCTCCCAGGGCAGCCCCAGCCAGGCCTCCCCCCTACCCCCTCACAGTGCTCTGGAGCCTGAGGGCTCCCATAGCCCTGGGAAGACACATTACATTGCCCTCCCTCTTCCCCAGAGAGCCCACCTATGCCTGGGGCAGGAGCCACTCGGAAGCTAGACTATCCTCCTTAGAGAGGCTGCACCACGTCAGTGTTTCTGTCTGCTCACCTGCCACTGAGCCCACCACCCATGCCCACCAGTGTTGGCCTTTGCCTCACAGCCTCGGAGCTGCTTCACGGCCTTCACCAGCCCTGATGGAGTGGGCAGCAACTGCCACGTGAAGGAAGCTCAATATCAGCTGGGAAGGAACTGTGCCTCTGTCTGACTGGCCTGACTTCCTGAGAACTGCCCCACCCCGTGGGGTGGCACAGAGGTCCCACAGCAGCTCTTCCTGCATTGCCCACCCCCGGCTGGACTGTGGCCCAGGGAAGGCAACTCCACATTAAACTGACCGATAAATTGCTTTTAAGACAAAAAAAAAAACCCTTGGAAAGATTGGGCAGCAGGGTCAGAGGCCAAAAAAAGCCATACAAACACAAGCAGCGGCATGCCTGGAGCTGCCATCACACTCCAAGCCCCACCACACACAAGCCCCCTCAGGTGGCCTTGCCCTCGAAGCTCTCTGCCAGCACACACTCCTCAGCTTTCTGGAGCCACGCCCTGCTCAGGCAAACATGCTACTGGCCGTGGCTTGTTCCTGGGACCCCAGGCTGCCCACCGGAAGGGAACCTCTTCCAGGTGCTGCACGGCTCTGCCCTGCCCACTCCAACCCTGGGGCTAGCAAGACGTGTCAGAGGAGCCAAGGCTCAGATCATTCCCCCTTCATCTACGACTTTGCCGGCCCTCCAGGGATAAATCAAAAGACAAAATCTCCCCATCTCACAGTGAGTGACAGGCCGACCTGGGCTACTACATGTCCCAAGATGCACAGCTCCATAACTAGGCACCAGCTCCCCCAAGCGGAATCTATCAGAAATGGGGCTGGGTGCACCGCATTCTGGGATTTGTAGTCCCCAGGAGCCAGCACCAAACACCCAAAGAAAAGAGTGCACAGGCTAAGACTACTGCTGCCTCCCACCCATCCCCCACCCACCACCCAGGCCCCGGCTCTACACTCAGCAAGGGTGGAGAGGAATGGAGGGTCCCCCCACCCAGCACATGGGGGAGGGCACTGTCCTGTTGGAACTGTGCAGCGACTCTGGATCCTGACATCCAGCTCCAAACACATCTGCGGCTTTCTTCCCAGCTGCCTCCATCTCTGACAGACTGTAGGCCATGGCCAGCTGCAGGTCCTCATCCTCAGAGAGGTCACTGTCCAAGGGGCCTGAGACAGGGGTCTGCGAGACCTGAGTGCCCCTGGACCTGGAGGTGACTGACGGCTGCTACTCTCGACGGCTCAGCTCCAAGCCCAGTGCCAGGTCATCTGGGACACCATTGATTGTGACTGACTTCAGCTGCCTCCACTTCCACCCGCTCCTACCCATTCTTCGTGCTTCTGCGTGTGGTGATGCGGTGTCCTTGGACAAAGGTGGTAAAGCGGAAAGCAGATACTACCACCCCTACACCTATAGCCATCCTGGCTCCTGGTTCCCCAGCTAGCCCTCCTGGGAGTCTTGAGCCTGAGGCAGCATGGCTTCCCCCTATGCGCAGAGAGAGTGGTCACCCCATCAAGCCCCCATGCAAAGACTTGCCTGATTCTCAGCAACAACACTGAGCTCTAAGAAAGGAAAGCTTTCAGAACAATTGAAACATTGCAGCAGCATTTTGAAGGAGTTACTCTCTAAGAAGCATGCTGCTTATGCTTGGCCTTTCTATAAACCAGTGGACGCTTCTGCACTTGGCCTGCATGACTACCTTGACATCATTAAGCACCCCATGGATTTCAGCACTGTCAAGCGGAAGATGGAGAACTGTGATTAACAGGATGCACAGGAGTTTGCTGCTAAAGTATGGCTTATGTTCTCTAACTCTGTAAGTACAATCCCCCAGATCACAATGTTGTGGCAATGGCACGAAAGCTACAGGATGTACTTGAGTTCTGTTATGCCAAGATACCAGATGAACCACTGGAACCAGGGCCTCTACCAGTCTCTACTGCCATTCCCCCTGGCTTGGCCAAACCATCTTCAGAGTCCTCCAGTGAGGAAAGTAGCAGTGAGAGCTCCTCTGAGGAGGAAGATGAGGAGGATGAGGAAGAAGAGAGGTGAAAGCTCAGACTCAGAGGAAGAAAGGGCTCATCGCTTGGCAGAACTGCAGGAACAGCTTCGGGCAGTACATGAACAACTGGCTGTTCTGTCCCATGGTCCAATATCCAAGCCCAAGAGGAAAAGAGAGAAAAAAGAGAAAAAGAAGAAACAGAAGGCAGAGAAGCATCGAGGATGAGCTGGGGCGATGAAGAAGACAAGGGGCCTGAAGCACCCTGCCCACCTCAGCCCAAGAAGTCCAAGAAAGCAAGTGGCAGTGGATGTGGCAGTGCTGCTTTAGGCCCTTCAGGCTTTGGACCTTCTGGAGGAAGTGGCACCAAGCTCCCCAAAGAGGCCACAAAGACAGCCCCACCTGCCCTGCCTATGGATTATGATTCAGAGGAGGAGGAAGAGAGCAGGCCCATGAGTTATGATGAAAAGCTGCAGCCGAGCCTGGACATCAACAAATTACCTGGAGAGAAGCTGGGCCGAGTTGTGCACATAATCCAAGCCAGGGAACCCTCTTTACGTGATTCAAACTCAGAAGAGATTGAGGTTGATTTTGAAACACTCAAGCAATCCACACTTAGAGAGTTTGAGCGCTATGTCCTTTCTTGCCTATGTAAGAAAACCCGGAAGCCCTATACCATTAAGAAGCCTGTGGGAAAGACAAAGGAAGAACTGGCTTTGGAGAAAAAGCGGGAATTAGAAAAGCAGTTACAAGATGCCAGCGGACAGTTCAATTCCACTAAAAAGCCCCCCAAGAGAGCAAGTGAGAAAACAGAGTCATCCTCTGCACAGCAAGTAGTAGTGTCACGCCTCAGTGCTTCCAGCTCCAGCTCAGATTCCAGCTCCTCCTCTTGATCATCATCTTCTTCAGACACCAGTGATTCAGACTTAGGCTAAGGGGCCAGGCCAGATGGGGCAGGAAGGCTCCGAAGGACCGGACCCTTAGACGGCCCTGCCCCACCCACCCCTTTCCCCTTTGCTGTGACTGCATCTCACCCTCCTGCCCCCGTCTAGGAGAGCTGGCTCTGCACTGGGGGAGGGATGCAGGGACATTTACTAAAGGAGGGACATGGACAAAATAAGATTGAATTCTCATGAGGTACCCATTGGGGAGTGATCTCTTGGACATAGATCCCCCATTCAAAATGACTGGGGCAGGGCAAGGGGGTACAGGATGGAAGTGTGCAAAGCCCCTGATTTGGAGTTATGTAAGGCCATAGCTGCCCTGTTGACTTCTAAGGGCCCTGTTTTGAGGTTGTTTGTTCTAATTTATTTTAAGCTAGGTAACCCTGGGGGGAGGGTGGGGCCTTTGTCCCCTCAGCCTCCGTGGGGTGGGAAGAAAGGGGAGCTCTTTCTTTACGTTGACTATTTTTTCTACTGTTTTCTCTTTTTCCTTCGCTCCATTAGGGGCCCTGGGGGGTTCAGTCATCTCCCCATTTGGTCCCCTGGACTGTCTTTGTTGATTCTATCTTGTAAATAAAGAAAATATTATTCAAAATAAATTAAAAAAAAAAAAAAAAGGGTCTCTCCTGGAGGGGCACAGAGCGTGTGCGGGCAGTCCGGGCGGCGCGCGCGCCTACGCCGGGATGCCGTTCTGGCCCCTGAGGCCGTCGTCCGCCAGCCCCGACCCCGAACCGCCGGCCGGAGACGCGGGCCGGAGACTGCCCCGGAGGCCTGTCTCGCCGAGCGCGTTGGCGGGGCCCTTGTCGCTGGTGTCCCCGGGCTCCGCGCTGCGCGCGTCTTGAAGCGCGCGGGAGACGGAGCTGCTGTTGGGGGCGCTGCTGCTGGGCGCGCCGCTCCGCCAGGCGCTGGCCCCCTCCGGCCGCCTGTTGGGCGCACTGGCCGGGCAGCAGGTGCACCGCTCCCGCCAGGGCCACAGCCGCCACTACCGATTACTCCGGGTCAGCTTCCTCCAGGCGCAAGGCCAGTCGCCCGGGCCCTTCGACGAGCACACCCCGGAGCTCACGGGGCTGCCGGGCGACCACAGGCGCAGACTGCCCCGCCGCCGCTACCGGGGGCCTGGGCGCCCCCAGCAAGGCCGCTGTCCAGCCCCCAGCGCATCCGCGCCGGCTCACGGCCGAGCAGGCACCGCCCCGCTGCCGACCGCCTGCAGCCCCCACGCTGACCCAGCCTGGACGCCCTGCTTCAACCGGTCCCCTCAGAGGTCTGCGGACGCCTCCCGTGCTCCCGGAAGCCCCGAAGACCGCGCATCCCCGCCGCTGAACGCCGACCTGCTGCTGACCCTCGGGCACCTGCACCTCCTCATGATCATCCTGCACCCGCTGCGCGACCAGCTGCGGACCCTGAACCAGCACGTGGAGCAGCTGCACGGCGCCTTCTGCAAGACAGTGTCCCTGGCTTTGGGCTTCGTTCTGGGCAGTGCGGCGGCCGTGGGCTTCATCCTGTGCAATGCGGCCGCCTAGCGAGAGGTCACCAGGGACCCATTCCAGTGACGCCCGGCTGCGGTTGCAGCCAGCCTCTCTGATCCAGGCCAGGGGCCCCTCCGCCCTGACTCCTCCTGCTGCCTTCCCATCCCCACGCCTGTGCACGTTCAGTAAAAGCATTGTTTTCCTAGAAAAATAAAGAAGAAGATGTCATAATCTAAAAAAAAAAAAAAAAAAAATGGGGGGCGCGCTGGTAGGGGTGGCCTGGAGGCCTGGCTGCGGGGAGGGACGGGAGGCCCTGAGGTACAGGTTATAAACGCCATGGCTATGATTAGTGTCAATTGCTTGCTGGTGTTTTAAGAAAGCCAGATGCCTGGATTGGACTCTGGAGTGTTCTCTGAGGGACACCTTCATCACACAAACTCTGCACTTCCTGGATTCGATACTTGTATTTTTCTAGTACCAAGTTACGCACACCAAATTATAAAACACTTTCCCGTAATCTTTTCTCTCTGAGACTCCCAGGGCTTTTAATATCTCCAGAATATATTTTTTCATTTTCCATAAGACTCAAAAGTAATATAAGCTCTAAAACATCTAAAAAGTCTCTGCAAAAAGTAGATGATGAAGACCCTGATGCAGAAAGTGAAGATGAGTGAGCAGGAAGAGAAGTTTGAGGATGACCCTACTGTAGTCAAAGACTATAAAGACTTAGAAAAACAGTGCAGTCTTTCTGGTATGATGTTGTCCTGAAGACAGGCCTAGATATTGGGAGAAACAAAGTGGAAGATGCATTCTACAAAGGTGAACTCAGGCTGAATGAGGAAAAATTACAGAAGAAAAGCAGAATGGTCAAAGTGGGAGATACATTGGATCTTCTCATTGGAGAGAATAAAGAAGCAGGAACAGAGACAGTTATGCAGATTCTCCTGAAAAAAGTGTTTGAAGAGAAGACTGAAAGTGACAAATTCAGAGTGTTGTTACGGCGGTGGAAAAACTTAAAGTTGCCCAAGAAGAGAATGTCTAAATAAATGGATTGCTTTTTAGCAATAAAGCTGCTTTCTAGTGGTAGAGGAAAGGGTCAACTGAAAAAGAGGATGTTTTTATTAAAAATAAAGTTCTGTTAGCGTTTGTGGAATCTGCTGAAAAAAAAATCATTTTTTATACCTTTAGACAAATGTTGGCTTATTACAGAAAACTCTACCTTTCCTAGCAAGTGTCATCTTCCAAATTGGTCATTTTCTTTTTTTTTTTTTTTTTTTTGCCAATCAGTTTGAGCTTATGAGGTTGCTCAGGTTAGCCTTGAACTGATGAACTCGCCTTCGCGAGCACCATGACCTCTGGCGGGAGCCACTTTGGACCCCCAAATTGGTCATTTTCTTACATCCATCACCATCTTCTCAATGCCTCAGTCTTCAATTTCCTTGTGGACGACACTTAAGTGCAAGGAACTTGAAATGCCTTCTTGTGTAAATGACCTTCGCTGTTGCTCCTTTTCAGCACCCGTGCTATGAACCTACTTGGAACTTGTCATGACCTAGGAGGGTACCATCTTTAAGGATTTTAAATGTTTATAAACCACTCTTTGACTGTTCACCTCTAGATCTTGAAGCACTCTCATTTCACCCTCTTGCTGTACCTACTTTGAACCTCAGGAGGAATATCCCCATCTTCTGACTCCTAATGCCCTGGCTGCCCCTCCTGACCTTGGTGCCCACCTGTCCAGCCCAACTCTATGATAAACCCCTTCCTCTTACCAGTTCTCTGTGTCCTTTCTTGAAGAGTTAAAACCAAAGTCAAATTTCTATTTGCAGATGTTTTCCTAGTTCCACCTCTGTTATACGAATCCAACTCTGAAGGCTAGGACCTAGTACTTTCACTGTCTTTCTCTTTTGATGCTCACAGCCACCTCTGGGTAGTGCATAACATGCATAATGTATTAGTTATTAGTGTTTTAACATCTACATTATTATAAAGCACATACTAGGAAAACACTGGCATGTCATAGTGTACATGCTGTGTCCATAACACTCAAGCCAAACCTCTGATTCCTAGGAATTCTCACTCTGAAATTAAAAATGAACAGAATTTTGGTAAAGATAATGTAAATAGTAAGTCTTTTATTAGATCCGACATTAATTTATGTCTAAAGTACACGTGCTGAAGAAAGGGGAGTTTATAACTAGAGCGAATGAAAATAGAAAATAACTGAATTCTAAATACAGACAGACCTATTCAAAAAGTCATTTGTAGTTTATAGTCACTCATTTTAGAAAAATTTAAATGAGAAATGAGACACGGCTTTGTAAATATTGGGGAGGAGGAAGCACCTGTCAAGTGGGTGGCCTGAGTGTTAGCATCAGAGCTTGAGATGGAATTTTTTCTGCAGGTACACCTGAGACACCCAAAGTCCTTTCAAGATAGTCTTGAAGACATAAAGAAGAGAATGAAAGAGAAAAGGAATAAAAACTTGTCAGAGATTGGCAAACGCGGGTCTTTTTATAGTTGCACCATGCCAAGCAATCACCAGCACTTCTACACTGCTGAAAAATTACCAAGAGAACAACAAAATGTTAGTTTTAGCTTTGGAAAATGAAAAAGCCAAAGTGAGAGCAGCCCAAGATACCACCCTACAGCTGAGAAAAGAATGTTACTATTTCACATGTCAGCTATGTGCATTGAAAGGAAAACTTACATCACAACAAACAAAAGAACCAGCTCAGAACCAGGAAATATACTCTTCTGGAATGGACCCCAATAGTGATGACAACTCCAGAAATTTATTTTTGAAAGATTTATCGCAAATTCCTCTTGAAGAAGCTGAACTTCCAGGACAAGGAGAATCATTTCAAATAGAAGACCAGATACTTACTATTCCTCAAGACACACTGGATATGATTTTGATTCTGGTGAAGCTAAGTCCACTGATAATATCTTACCTAGAACTGTATCTGTCCATAGCAGTTTAAAGAAACATTGTAATAGTGTATGTCCCTTTGATAGTTTGGATGATTTTGGTTTTGAAACCAGTCATTTGGTGGGGAAGTCTTTTGAATTGGAAAGAGTTAAATTTTTAAACCCACTAGTAAAGGTGCACATACCTCAAAATGTACGGCACAATGTTTGTCAATGAAACACAGACCAAGTGAACATACCACCAAAGCTGATTCAGCCAGCAACATTTACTTTTTTTTTTTTTTTTTTTTTTTACAGAGATTACGTGTGGTTTAATTGTGGGGAGGCTGAGGAGAACGGCATTTTTACCAAATGGGTGTAAAAATGAAATGGGGTCCAGATGTGTACACTGACAGTCATAGTAATTTCAAAATCCGAGCTGCAATGTGAATCATTTCTTGAAAAACAAACACAGATAAACAGTGAGTCGGTGCCCGGTGCGGTCTGCAGGGTTGGAGCCAGTCCTGCATCACGGGTGCAGCTGTGCACTGTGGCCCGGAGCCCCCCCTCTTGGTGACTTCTCACGGAGTGGGCCGAGCCAGGCCTGGCCCAGAGGGGGTGGCAGCCCATGCCCGCAGGAGACATGGGGAAATGGGAGCAATGTGTGGGACCCACATGCTGCTTGAGGAGTCTTTGCAGGGTGCACAGGTGCACATTGCCTCTACCAGCAATGCAATAAATATGCAAATCCAAGCGGAGAGCAAACCCAACAGGCGCACGAGGCCCAGCCCGGTTCCTGAGGGTGTTGCCGGATCTTCACAGAGCAGGAGTCTCCAAGTCCGCAGCTCTGATGTCCCCGAGGTGCCCTGGGAGGCAGCAGGCAGCTGCGACAAGGCTAACCCTACCTATAGTAGCCTCAGGGGGTAGTGGCACTGGGCCCAGTAGGGTCCCACCCGCAGGATCCTTCCAGCCCCGCTGCACAGCGGTGAGGGGAATGGCGGAGCAGCCTCCCAGGGGCAGGCGGGGGTGGGACCTAGGCCTCCCGCACACTCACAGGTGGCTCAGCCAGGGAGCTGTGGATGATGCTGATGATGGACTCCAGGCCGCGGCCCTCCAGCAGCGTGCGGTGGTCACCCTCGATGATGTGGACAGACACCTTTCCGTCGCACACCTGAGAGAGGTTGTAATCCGCGCCGCTCGTCTTGGCGCGCAGCAGCGTCACGTTGCGGTGGTACTTGGCCTTGGGCGTGTACTGCTTGGCGGCGCGCGGCTTGTAGTAAAAGGATAGGGCTGCGAAGCTCAGCTCCTGGCGGTCCAGGCCCTGGTGGCTCTTGGTGATCAGGTCCACGGCGGCTGCCACGCGCTCCTCCAGGCCCTTCAGCGGCAGCAGCATCTCCAGCACCCTGCTGTGCTCCGCGTCGGTGAATTGCTGCACGAAGAAGTACATGGCCTCTGTCTCGGCCTCAGCCTCGCAGCCTGGGGTCAGCTTTGCCCGGTAGCTCTGCGTGTAGGCCAGCACGTAGGTGTGCGAGCCGTCAAACAGGAAGAGGCGGTTGTTGGTAGGGGCCAGGCTCTGTTGCGCCTGCAGCTGGGAGCACAACTCAAAGGCCAAGCAGGCCCCATAGGAGTAGCCAGCCACGCGGTAGGGGCCCTCGGGCTGCATCTGCCGGATGCAGTCGATGTAGTAGGCGGCCAGGCTGTGGATGCTGTCTAGGAGGGCAGCTCGGGTGCACTGCAGGCCATAGGTGGGGATGCTGAGCCTGTAGCCCAGGCTGTGGAACACAATGGTGGAGCCCTCGATTGGGTGCACCAGGAACAGGTGCCGCTAGGAGCTCTGCACGGAGTTGAGCCGTGTCATGGTGGGGCCCTCGGGGTTCACCAGCAGGGAGCGCAGGTTCAGCTGGCTCTGCTGCTGGGCCGGGCTGTTCTTGGGCGTGGGGGATGCCAGCTCTGCCTTCGAAGACAGCTCCTGCAGCTTCCGGAGCGTGAGCTGCCTTACCTCACACATGGACAGTGCCAGGTCGTGCTCGTGCTCCAGTGTCTGGCGCACCTCCACGCCCATGAGCAAGTCCAGCCCCAGGTCCGCCAGGGAGCTGTCCAGGTTGACACCAGCCAAGTCGCGGATGCCCAGGATGGGTGCCACGGCCTTCACCAGGTCCCGCCGGCCGTCTCCATCCTTGTAGGCCGCAGCCTACTCAGCCAGCACGAAGCTGCTCAGGACGGCATGGGGCTGGTTCAGGAAGAGGTCCAGCACCCCCAGGCAGGAGGCCATGCGCTGGGGCAGTGTGCACCTGATGACCATGTCGTTGGTGCCCATTGCCTCCAGCACCATGCCCACATCGCCGATGGCGCCCCACTGCATGGCCAGGCCTGGGAGGCCGTGTCGTGCAGGTGTTTCTCGCAGATGCGCTCCATGGTGGAGTTGGCAAAGCCATAGTTGGTCTGTCCTGCTTTGCCGCGCCCATAGATCACAGAGAAGACCACGAAGTAGTCCAGCTCAGGACATGCCTCCCGGGTCACCTTGTCCAGGTTCAGGGTGCCGCTGTACTTGGGCTTGCTGATGTCCTGGAAGGACTCTGGGCTCTAATTCTCCAGCATGGCGTCTCTTAAGACTATGGCCAAGTTGAAGATGCCGCCCATGGGCTTGAGTTGCGTAGCCTCGGCGATGAGGCCCCGGGCCCCCTCCAGCGAGCTGGCGTTGCTGGTGGACACCTGCACCTGCACGCCCAGATGCCTCCACTCTCGGACCTTCTTGGCCTGGTAGCCTGTCCGGATCCCGGAGCGAGCCATTAGCACCAGCTTCTGGGCCCCGCGCTTTATCAGCCACTGGGCCAGCTCCAAGCCGAAGCCACCCAGGCCACCGGCGGCGACTTAGCTCATGTGGGGCAGGAAGAAGGTCTTGGAGATGGCCGCAATCAGCGTGGGTTTGGCCCCCTTCAGCACAGCCTCCGGCTCCTCCGCACGCACCTGCGTGACGACTTTGCCAATGTGCTTCCCCTGGGCCATGTAGTGGAAGGCGTCCTCCACCTGGGTCCTGGGGAACACGGTGCACTTGAGGGGCTGCACTACTCCATTGTGGATGCCAGGCTGCAAAAGTGCTGTCACCTCCCGCCAGGCAGCACTGGCATAGTTGAAGAGCAAGTCCAGAAGGATCCTGTGGAAGGTCACGTTCTTCAAGAAGATGGCCATGCCAAGCGGGTGATTGTTAGAAAGGTCAAATTTGCCAGTTTCCAGGAAGCGGCCGTGCTGAGCCAAGCACCTCATGCTGGCTTGCAGCTTCTCTTCCGCCAAGGAGTTCAGGACCAGGTCAACGCCCTTCCCGCCTGTGCTTCTCGAATGACGTGTCCCTCGAGTTGGTGAAGCTGGTGCTGTCAAGCTGGGAGAATCTGGCCTGGAGGTATGCCTGTTTCTCGGCCGACCTCATGGTGGTGAAGACGTGGCAGCCCAGACTGAGGGCGATGGCGATGGCGGCCTGGCCCATGCCACCCGAGCCTGAGTGGATGAGCACCGTCTCCCTGCGCTGCACCCGCCCGCGCACCACCAGTGCATAGTAGGCTGTGGTGTAGACGACGGGCACCAAGGCCGCCTCCTCGCTGCACCTTGCCCAGCCCGCCAGCCCTGGTGCCCAGCTCTGCACGGTCTACTACACCTCCCTCAACTTCCGCAACATCATGCTGGCCATTGGCAAGCTGTCCCCTGACGCCATCCCAGGGAAATGGCCACCAAGGACTGCTTGCTGGGTATGGAGTTCTCAGGCCGGGACACCAGCGGCAAGCTTGTGATGGGGCTGGTGCCCACCGAGGGCCTGGCCACCTCTGTCCTGCTGTCACCGGACTTCCTCTGGGATGTGCCCTCCCACTGGACCCTCTCTCAGGGCAGCCACCATATTGCCAAGGGCTGAGGCTGGGTCCCTGAGAGCAGCCACTGCACAGTTGCACACCAAGAGATCAGTGCTGCCCAGGGCGCTGGGGGCAGGGTCCGAGGGGTCCCACTGGCCCTGGGCGATGCCATGCTGCTGCAGCCTCCAGGGCCTGAGGGTGGTGGTCAGTGGCCGTGTAGCTCAGCTGCAGCAGGGGCTGCGTGTTGAGCAGGCCTGGGATGTGGGAATACAGGTGACCATGGCCAGCCAGCACCTCTACCACCTTCATCTTCAGGCTGGGGATGTTCTCCAGGTCTGTGTCCACACAGGCCTTGAGTGCTAGGGAGTCCAGGAGGCCACTGAGCAGAGGGTCCTCTGGCAACTCAAACATTTCCTGGGCAAGCAACTGTGCCAGCCCCAGCTGTAGATTCTCGTTAAGCTGAAGCTCACAAGCAGCTGACAGCAGCTGGGGCAGTGCCTGCTGCAGGGAGTCCTGGGGGACCTGGGCCCCATCCAGTCTGGGCACCATCATCTTCAGCCCCTGCTGGGTCACCTTAGTCTGCAGTGCCTGCACCAGTCCCTTGCACAGCCACAGCTCCTCCTTCAGAGCAGTGTTCCCAGATAGGCACCCATCCTCCACATGGGGCGTGAAACAAAACTTCTCCAGGATGGGCGCCCAGTGTTCCTGCTGTCGCCGCGGGGCTGCTGAGGCATGGAGCAGGAAGAGGTGGACGCCTCCAGTCACTGTGGTCTTCAGGCACCTGCTCACCACCACATCAGCCACTTGGGCCTCGTCCTGCTGTGTGTACAGCTTCGGCCTGTGGGTGGCAGGGTCGATGTGGATGGCAGTGATGCGGGTGGGCAGCAGCAGGCTGCACTGGCTTTTGCTCAGGATGGACATCTGCAGCATGGCATCCAGGAAGGGCACCCAGTAGTCCATCCATAGTAGCTTACCCAAGTTGCCATCCAGGCTGGCCTCCAGGATGCCCTGGAAGTGAGGGCCATATTTGTAGCCATACAGACGCAGGTTCTTGTACACTTCAGCCTGGACCAGGAAGAATGGCTCCCTGGGGCTGGGGGCAGGGCTTTCCGGGTGGTCAAAGAGCCTGGGGTCAGGGTCCTCCCACTGATACACCTTCCCACTCACTATCAGGTGACCACTCTCTGACAGTTCGAAGGTGTGGGAGGCCTCCAGGAGCCACACCTCCAGGGACATGGTCCCAGTCTTAGGCAGGATGGTGGCCTGGTGCACCTCCACGTCCTCAAACACCACGGGCAGCTGTTCCACGGCCAGGCCCAGGGCACGGGCCAGCATCTTCCACACGAGGCACAGATAGCCAGTGGCAGGGAAGACGATACGGCCGTTGATGCGGTGGTCCACCAGGTAGTGGTCAGGAGACTCAGGACTGGTGTCAATGGTGTAGATGGTGGCCGATGGGGAACCAGAACCACTGGGGAAGTCCTCGGCGGCTGGCACATCCCAGGCCAGGCTGTGGTCCCACTTGATGAGCAGGGAGATGAGGGGCATTCCTCGGGGAACCAGGAACTCCACAGGTGGGAACAAGGCAGTGGGGTTGGCATCAATGCCTGAGAGGTGCAGCTTGCTGATGCCAGTGAGGAATAGCTCCAGGTTGTCCCTGTGGTCCTTCTTCATCAGGGGGATGATGGTGCAGCTTGGCTTCAGGCCACACTTCAAGACAGCCTGCAGCAGGGTGTGGGGCACGATCTCCAGCACCACTGCATGCTCAGGCAAGTGCCCCAGGGCCTCCTGGAACAGCGCGGGGCTCACCAGGTTGTTGACGTTGTACTCAGGGGAGCATGTGTATGCCAGGCTGGTGTGCCACTGGGCCTCGAGGATGGAGGTGCTGAACCAGCAGGCCTATCGTGGCTTCAGCTCCTGGATCATCTTCTTGAGTGCCTGCAGCAGCGGGGGTGCGATGCCCTCCATCAAGTAGGAGTGGAAAGCCATGCTGCCCATCCGCACCTTCTTGGCAAACACGCCCTCCTGCTTCAGCTGTTCCACGAACTCGTATACCGGGCCCTGAGGCCCCGAGATGGTCACCATGTCCTCAGAGTTGTGGCAGGCAGACACCATGCCCGGGGGACAGCGCTGCTTACACTCCTCCCAGGACAAGCCCACAGCTGCCATGGCGCCTTTTGGGATGTTGGCTTCTTTGATGTACTGCGCTCTCCAGTAGGCGGAGAGAACAGCTTCCTCCTGGGACAGGCAGCCATCAGCGTAACCACAGGCCACTTTCCCCAGGGAGTGACCGATGATGCCATCTGGCCTCAGCCCCATGCAGCTCAGCAGGTCTATGAGGCCTATCTGGATGGCGGTCAGGCTCACAAAGGCGTGGATGATGTTGTCAAAGGTACTCTCGTCTTGCTCAGCAGCAGCTGTGACGCCTTCAGGCCGAGTGGGTTCACAGCCTCGTCAGAGCGTAGAATGGAGTCTCGGAAGAGGCTCAGGCACATGAGGCTGAGCTCCATCCCACATCACTGCGTGCCCATCCCAGAGCAGATGAACCAGAGTGGGCGCTCGCCAGTGGGCACCTGCTGCACCTTCAGGCCACTGCTCTTGCCACACAGCATGGCGTAGCCACGGAAGGGCATGGCAGTGGTGGAGGCAGCTGCAATGTCATTCAGCATGCTCAGGAAGGCCAGGTCCTGGCTGTGCTGGAGGCCCTGCTCCAGCAGTTTCTGCATGGCCTCGGGGGGTGCATCCACTGGCCTGCAGCAGATGGGGCAGGGTGGCGTGTGGGGCAGGTGCTGGGGGCGGCTGTGTGTTGGGCTTCAGGATGACATGTACGTTGGAACCCCCAAAGCCGAAGGAGTTGATGCCCATATTGCCACCACGGACGGGCAGGGGCTGCTCCACCACTTGCAGCCGCCTGTCCAGCAGTGCTGGGATCTCAGGGTTGGGGTTGTGGAAGTGCAGGTTGGGGGCCCAGAGCCTGTGCTCCAGGGACAGCAGCACCTTGGCCAGGGCTGCCAGCCCCGAGGCTGTCTATGGGTGCCCCATGTTGGACTTGGTGGAGCCGATCAGCAGTGGCTCCTGGTGGGTGGCACACAGGGCTTGGCCGATGCCCTTCAGCTCCTGGGGGTCACCCACCTTGGTGCCCATGCCGTGGGTTTCAATGTACTCCAGCGACTCGGGGGCCACTCCGGCCGGCTGATACAAGGAGCTGATGAGCTGCTCCTGGACCTCCCCAGAGGAGAAGCTTGTAGCCCAGAACAGAATGACTTTAAAACAACTTAAAGACAGGTATCCTCTGAAATGGTTTGTGGCTGGAGTAGGAGCAAACAGCAAAATTAGTGCACTGAAAGGCTCCAAAGGAAAAGACTGTGAAATCCCTGTGCCTGTGTGTGTTTCAATAACTGATGAAAATGGTAAAATTATAGGAGAACTCAATAAAGAGGATGACAGAATTCTGGTAGCTGAAGGAGGTCTTGGTGGTAAATTTCTTACAAACTTCTCACCATTGAAAGGCCAGAAACAAGTAATTCACCTTGATCTAAAACTTATAGCTGATGTAGGCCTAGTAGGATTCCCAAATGCTGGAAAATCCTCTTTGCTAAGTCAAGTTTCTCATGCAAAACCTGCGATTGCAGATTACACATTTACAGCATTAAAGCCTGAACTTGGAAAGATTATGTACAATAATTTCAGATATCAGTAGCTGATCTTCCAGGTTTAATAGAAGGAGCACATATGAACAAAGGAATGGGCCACAATTTCTCAAGCATATAGAAAGAACTAGACAACTACTTTTTGTTGTTGATATTTCTGGATTTCAGCTTTCTTATCGCACTCAATACAGAACTGGTTTTGAAACCATAATAATACAAAAGAATTGGAATTGTACAAAGAGGAGGTTCAGACAAAACCTGCACTTTTGGCAGTTAATAAAATGGACTTTCCAGATGCTCAAGATAAGCTCCATGAATTGACGAACCAGCTCCAGAATCCTAAAGATTTTCTGCATTTATTTGGAAAAAACATGATTCCAGAGAGGACTATAGAGTTCCAACATATCATCCCCATATCTGCAGTTACTGGAGAAGGAATTGAAGAATTAAAGAACTGTATAAGAGAGTCACTGGATGAACAGGCCAACCAGGAAAATGATGCATATCATAAGAAACAGTTGCTTAATTTGTAAATTTCTGATAAAGTATCTTCAAGTGAGCCACCATCATCAAAGCATGCTGTTACTAGTTCCAAAGTGAATAAATTTAAATATATTAAAAATGATATTGATGGAATGCTAAAAAAAAAAAAAAAAAAACAAACCCTGGGAGGGCTGGGACTTAGAATCGTGGAGTCCCATATGTTCATATAGTTTGAACTAATGGGTTAAGGTCACTCTATCATATAAATGAACCCAGTGATGTTCTCCACAGTTAGATAATGGTAATGAACAGCATATGTTCATTACCATCTGCAGCCAGGATTCAGAAGTCAAGTCAGGAGGTGAAGAGGGAAAAAAGATGACCCCAGAAAGAGGCAACATCAGAGTGGTGGACAGAGCTATCACACCTGGCGGCATAGCTGAGCCTCTGACTAACATACAGTGATGTTCAATGTACACAATTTGATCATGAACATCTCTTAGTAGCAAGGTGTATGTGTATTCACCCTTGTACAATACATTCTTTCACCTGTGCCTCCCCTGAGGCCCTACCCTGCTATAGAGAGCTCATTGAGGTACAGGAGCCTAGAGCAAAGCTAACTTAGTCATGCAGATGCCAAATCTGAGATTTGGACCACAGTACATACTTTTAAAAATAATAAATTATCCAATACTATCTAACTATGGAGAACATCACTAGGTTCATTTATATGATAGAGTGACCTTAACCCATTAGTTCAAACCATATCCAATTCTCTCTTTTTAGTGCATTGAAACATGATTCTTTGCCGACCTTCCATATTTATAAACATCAGTATGGCACCAAAAATCTAAAATATGCAATTTAAAAAAATGTGGCAGTTGTAACTGTGAATTTGGTGGGAACTTGATACCTGAACCAATATTTCTTCAGCTGGCAAAGTGAAGCTCTTCCCTCTTCTTTATGAGATTGCAGCAGAATGCAATTTAAAAAGCAGGAGAGAATTAGGGATCATTCAGGCTCAACTTTATTCCACCACAACCCTTGTTTTTCAACCAAAGTAAAAGAAGCTCATGCATGTTGAGTGGCTAGCTCTTGGAGATCTTCTTGTTAGGATCCCTTCAGGAGTGGTACCATGTCTTCTGGCTCTTGGCCTGCTGCTCCATCCACGTGACGTAGAAGAGTCACAATGAGATGACAGACAGACACAAGTGCTACAAAACCTTTGACAAAATCAACAGCTGTGGGTTCCTTGCCAGTTACTAGCAAAACAAAGATGTAAAACTAAAATTGTTATATTTATACCATTAATAAATGTTACAAGGTTATAAATATCATACAGTGTATGAGGAATTCCTGCCGTCTTTCTTATAAACCCACTGTATGGATGCTTTCTCACACATGCTGTTCTATCAGGAACCATCTTCCTGTTTCTGCCAGCCTGCCTGATCTCATCCAAAAGCTCAGAAGAGTCTGGCTCTCACCTGCAGGTTCAGGGAAGCCCCAGTAGCTCACTCATCACTTTCTACTCTCTCCTATTCTCCACTGCAACTTAAAGATTCTCCACATCTTACCTCAAGACAATAACCCCATGGTCACAGCAAAGCACTGAGTATAGCCACAATATATTTTTTACAAATATACTTTAAATTACCTGGTATCAGTAAAAAGAAATATATACATATAGTAAAGTCATCACTTCACACCTCTGGCTGCTTCACTTGGGGATCGGGAACACTAATTTCTTAAAGATCCTTCCAGAAATAATCCTGTACCATTATATGCATGTACATGTATATATCTTTTTTGTAAATTTCAATTGAGAACATATTTTGGGTTTCCCATGACTACCTCATGGTCATGATTTGCTTGGTGATTCACCAGAATGACTCACGTAAGTCAAAAAGTTATGCTAACAGCTAAGATATGTCACTGCAAAGGATACTGTGCTGGAACTGTGAGACACAGGTATGCATAAGAGAAGACTAGAGAGGTCAGGCCTAGGTTTCCACATTCCCTTTCTCTGCGAGAATTATGCAAACACTCCCTTTCCAGCTGCAAATTGCAGAGATGTGTGGCAGGCATCTCCACCTCAAAAAGTCCATGCAAATCTCAAGAGTCCAGAGTTCTTAAAGGCTGTTGATCACACAGCTACCTGACCAACCAAGATGCAGGAGCCAAACAGGCACCAGGTATACCTCATGAACTTTCATGTTTATTTTAAACAATGCTGGCAGCTGGGTACATTCTGACCCACTGCCTGGGCCATAGAGAATAACATCCTAATCACTGACCAAGTGAGCATTTCTGATGTTAGTTCTCTTCCCTGTGGCTTCAAGCTTTCCCAGAAATTAAAAAGAGCTGAGTAAAACAAACCTATTGTACTAACTCTTTCCTCACTGAGCACAATACACACATTATTCTGTGCATATTGTGCTCAGTGTGTAGAGTTAGTACAACATGTTTTTGAAAAGCAATATATATTAAAGTTATCGGTAATATATATTGCCTTTCAAAAAGGCAGTTTTTTACCAAAATATATATCAGTAATATATATTTCCTTTCAAAAAGGAAAGGCAATATATATTAAAGTGATTTAAATATTATCTTATTTTTTCATGGCTGCATGTTATTCTTGGGCATGGAGGCACTATTATTTGCTTAGTCAGTCACCTATTGCTGGAGAACTGGACCTGTACTATTTCACTGTTATAAAAATTGATACAATTAATGTCTCCATTTGGTGGGGGATATGAGTAAGTATTCTCATAAGAATCACCACTTATAAAAGAATGAACATGAAAGTGGACACAGAGTAACCCATCAGCCTCCTTGCAAATTGCCTTCTTCCACTTGGAAAAGTTGTAATTTATTCAATTTATTTGTATGACATTGCCAATTATCCCTCTTGTGTTCTTTTTAAAAAATTACCACCAGCAGTGTAAGTGACTGTCACCTCCTCCCCACATCCTAAGGCAGCAATTTCTGATTTGGAGTCATGGGAATTTCACTTTGACAATTTCATCTGCCAACATGCAATAACATCTGTCTCTATACTGATGTGATTGTGCATTTGGGCTTGGGTTTAAATCCCTGTACCACCTTAACTAGCAAAGAGACATTATGCAACTGACAACCTCTTATGATTTTCTGTGAATTAATTGAAGATTTATGTGAAACACAGTAAGTGTTCTGCAAATGCTTGCTTTACTGGTTTATTTAGTATTCTAATTTAAATTGATAAAATTCTTCTTATTACTGTCTTGTGCTAAACAGTAATATTTATGGCTGATGTGATTTATATATTATTCCAAGACATATAACTACAAGAAAATGTTTTTCCTATCCATATTTAAGTTCTAGGATACATGTGCAGAATATTCAAAATTGTTGCATAGGTACATACATTGCAATGTGGTTTATTGCCTCCATCCCTGTCATCTATATCTGGTATTTCTCCCCATGTTATCCCTCACCAACTCCCTACCCCTGCTGTCCCTCCCCAAGTCCCCCCCAATAGACCCCAGTGTGTGATGCTCCCCTCCCTGTGTCCATGTGTTCTCATTGTTCAACACCCGTCTATGAGTGAGAACATGTGGTGTTTGATTTTCTGTTCTTGTGTCAGTTTGCTGAGAATGATGTTCTCCAGATTCATCCATGTCCCTGCAAAGGACATGAGCTCATTGTTTTTTATGGCTGCATAGTATTCCATGGTGTATATGTGCCACATTTTCCTTGTCCAGTCTATTGCTGATGGGCATTTGGGTTGGTTCCAGTCTTTGCTATTGTAAACAGTGCTGCAATGAACATACATGTGTATGTGTCCTTGTAATAGAATGATTTATGATCCTTTGGATATATACCCAGTAATGGGATTGCTGGGTCAAATGGAATTTCTATTTCTGGGTCCTTGAGGAATCACCACACTGTCTTCCAAAATGGTTGAACTAGTTTACACTCCCACCAACAGTGTAAAAGTGTTCCTATTTCTCCACATCCTCTCCAGCATCTGTTGTCTCCAGATTTTTTAATGAACACCATTCTAACTGGCATGAGATCGTATCTCAATGTGGTTTTGATTTGGATTTCTCTAATGACCAGTGATGATGAGCATTTTTTCATATGTTTTTTGGCCTCATATATGTCTTCTTTTGTAAAGTGTCTATTCATATCCTTCACCCACTTTTGAATGCGTTTGTTTTTTTTCTTGTAAATCTGTTTTAGTTCTTTGTAGATTTTGGATATAAGTCCTTTGTCAGATGGGTAGATTGCAAATTTTTTTTCCATTCTGTTGGTTGCTGGTTCACTCTAATGATTTTTTTCTGTGCAGAAGCCCTGGCATTTAATTAGATCTCACTTGTCTATTTTGGCTTTTGTTGTCAATGCTTTTGGTGTTTTAGTCATGAAGCCCTTGCCTATGTCTATGTCCTGAATGGTTTTGCCCAGGTTTTCTTCTAGGGTTTTTATGGTGTTAGGTCTTATGTTTAAGTCTTTATTCCATCTGGAGTTAATTTTGATGTAGGGTGTCAGGAAGGTGTCCAGCTTCTGTCTTCTGCACATGGCTAGCCAGTTTTCCCAACACCATTTATTAAACAGGGAATCCTTTCCCCATTGCTTATTTTTGTCAGGTTTGTCAAAGATCAGATGGTTGTAGGTGTGTGGTGTTGCCTCCAAGGCCTCTGTTCTGTTCCATTGGTCTATATCTCTGTTTTGGTACCAGTACCATGCTGTTTTGATTACTGCAGCCTTGTAGTATAGTTTAAAGTCAGGTAGCATGATGTCTCCAGCTTTGTTCTTTTTGCTTAGAACTGACTTGGCTCTGCGGGCTCTCTTTTTGTTCCATATGAAGTTTAAGGTGTTTTTTTCCCAGTTCTGTGAAGAGGGTCATAGGTAGCTTGATGTGAACAGCATTGAATCTATAAATTACATTAGGCAGTATGGCCATTTTCATGATATTGGTTATTCCTAACCATGAGCATGGAATGTTTTTCCATCTGTTTGTAGCCTCTCTTATTCCCTTGAGCAGTGGTTTGGAATTCTCCTTGAAGAGGTTCTTTACATCCTTTGTTAGTTGTATTCCTAGGTATTTTATTCTCTTTGTAGCAGTTTTGAATAGCAGTTAGTTCTTGATTTGGCTCTCTCTTGATTTGGTGAATAGGAATGCTATGATTTTTGCATATTGATTTTCTATCCTGAGATGTTGCTGAAGTTGCTTATCAGTTTAAGGAGATTTTGGGCTGAGACAATGGGGTCTTCTAAATATACACTCATGTCATCTGCAAATAGAGACAATTTGACTTCCTCCTTTCCTATTTGAATACCCTTTATTTTTTTTTTCTTGCCTGATTACTCTGGCTGAACTTCCAACACTATTTTGAATACGAGTGGTGAGAGAGGGCATCCTTGTCTAGTGCCAGATTTCAAAGGGATGTTTCCG